AAGCAAGCAGGGGTTTTAGTAAGTGGGGGAAAGTTGTCATTTCACACAATGGGTTTGAGCTGGGTGGCTGCTGTCAGTACTGTCTTGAGGTAGAGCCACCCAGTAAGGAGATCTAAACTGCTCCTGTTTTATTGGCTTCAACGGCCTGTTTAGCTGCACGTAGCTAAGTGACTCAGTAGTTCACTGATGTATGCAATTCATCTACAATGCACGCGCTTTTGGGGCTATTGGGCAAGGGCGATGAGTGATCCAGTTATGCAGCAGATCTGCCAGAGCTTGTGACCTGCATCTTGAGGATCTGAATAGATCATTGATATTTGATTATTCTCTGGCCTACTTAGTCTCTAATTGTTTCATCCCTTGTTGCTTGCCCAACAGCAACAAAACTCCCAGGGAGAGACTATCATAGTGCTAGACCCTAGCAGGTAATAACTACATACCTTTCTCAGAGCAGTTATCATTTCATGAGCACCTACCACCTGCTAGACATTGGATTCTTACAGCGACTCTATGAGATTATATAAGAACTAGAGGCCTGGTGCACAGATTGTGCACCGGCGGGGCCCCTTGGCCTGGCCTGCGGGGATCGGGCCAAAACCGGCTCCCCAACATCCCCTGAGGGGTCCCGGATTGCGGAGGGCACAGGCAAGGCCGAGGGACCCCACCAGTGCATGATCAGGGCCAGGGAGTGACTGCGGGAGGGCTCCAGGGCATGTCCAGCCTGTCTTGCCCAGTCCCGATTGGCCAGATCCCAGCAGCAAGCCAACCTACTGGTCAGAGCATCTGCCTCCTGGTGGTTAGTGCGCATCATAGTTACGGGTAAATGGTCATTTAGGCTTTTATATATATAGATAATTAAAATCCTCACTTTACAAACCAAAGACTACCAAAGTTCACAGAGACAGAACTATGATTCGATCTCATGTCTAACTAAAAATTCCATGGACTTCCCAGTAAACCACACTTCTCATGGTATTTTCATGATAATAAAACTTTTGTAGCTTTATCTACATAACTCTCAAACTTTAGTCATTCCTTTCTGTTATTACATTAAAACTTTTCAAACTACTCTTTAGCATTATTTGTCTTAACAATTCTTTTAGAAAAGCAGGAGATGGAATTGTCTCAGTGACCAGTGGCTGGATATTTATTTGTCCTGCCAGATCCACTTTCTCCATTTTCCACTGAACTTGGTCCCCTAAAAAGCAGCCTTTACGGACTACAGCATTTAGTTGCCTGCCCTCTGGCTTTCAGTTGGGTTTACCCAATGGGGGGCACTTGATGGAGGCCAAGAGAGGAAAAATAATGCTGAGATAATAGTATTATTCTTGTTCTTATAATTCTGGCCCTGCTGGACACTGGAGAGGTTCCAAAGATTGATTGGGTTTGTCTATAATATGCGCAGGTCCTATCCTCTGGTTCTCTTCTAGAACTACCACTGTTCTCTTTGGGGTGGAACTTTTTCCTTCACTTGCCCAGTTCTAGGGGTACCAACTTCTCTCCAGTTTTGCCAGCCCCAGGGTGTTTCACTATCCCTTGTTAGTTTTCTTTACACCTGTGTAAATAGTTCCTAAATGAAACTTTCCTCCATTGCTCCATTTGAGGATCTTGTGTCTTTTCTGCGAGGATTTGGACTGATACAACCTGAGGTCTAAAATCTCCTTTTTGCTTTGGATCACCGAAAAAATATAAGATGCCTTTTTTATGTATACATTTATACATTCATTCCACAAATATATTGGGCACTCTGTGTGCCAGGCACTGGGTTTACAATGCTGACAAATGCAGCCACTGCTCTCCTACAGCATAGAATATAGTATGGTAGAGAGATTAAGCAGATAATCACACAAACTAGTGGAAAATCAATTGTGCCATGTACCAAGGTCCCATGGGGGCTAATGATAGGAGTCAATCAAGTCAGGAAAAAACAGAAAAGGCTTGCATGAAAAAGGAAAACATGAGCAGATATCTAAAAGAGACATAGAGCATCAACCTATGAACCAGGAGGTCATGGTTCAATTCCCAGTCAGGGCATATACTCGGGTTGTGGGCTCCATCCCCAGTATGGGGCATGCAGGAGGCAGCCAATCAATGATTCTCTCTCATCATTGATGGTTCTCCCTCTCTCCCCCTTTTTAAAAAGAAAAATAAAATGAAAGAGACATAGGCATTTATTGGGCATAGAAGGAAAGAAAGGTCATTCCAGGCAGAAGCTAATGGTTGATAAAGGTCGGGGCAGTGGAACAGAGAAAGCAAGAGGGTGCTTGAAAAGAAAGATGAAGCTAACCAGGCTCTGCAGACCATATGGAAACTGGTCTTTATCCTCTTTACAGTGTGGGGATTGGATCAGAAGACCAGAGCGGATTGAACATAGACCAGGTGGGAGTCTATTATTGCAGTAGACAAGGTGAGAAGTGGAAGAGAACTTGATAAACTTGCCCTTCCCTGGGAGATGACAGTGCTTAGTTCTTTATACACATTAATACAACTGTCAGGATAATGACTTCTCAGCCAACGGAGAAAATGCTGCCTTCTCGTTGTGGGAGGGGGTCAAGAAACACTGGGCTCGGTTTCAGACAGAGGATGAAACTCAGTAATGCAGTTATATACACAGGCTCTGGATGTAAAAACTGTCCCCATGTTGACTTCCTGCCTTTCCCTCTAACAATTCTCACATCTGAGAATTTCCATTGGAGGGGCACTCTAGAGAGACCTGAGTTTCCATCTTGGCTCCTTCACTTACTGCGTTAACTATGCAATTAACTCATTTCTGTGAAATGAGAATAATTCATTGGCTATAGAGTTGTTGTAGGACTAAATTAGGTAATGTATATCGTTAACTAATTCAAGTAACAGAAAACTGATTTAAAAGGACTTAAACAAATAAAATTTATTATCTAATATATTGGGAACTCTTAGGTATGACATATTTCAAGGTTGATTCAGTAGCTTAATTAATTTCTTTCTAACTTTCTTCTCCATCACCCTTGATGTGTTGACTGTATCTTGAGCTGGCTTCCCTCATGAGCACAAGTTAGGAGTATCACACTTAATGAGAGAAATATATTTTTCACTATTGTGTGAGAAACCTTTACTAAACAGCAATAGACTTATATCTCGTTAACTAGAACTAGAATATAAGATACACTAGGGCAGGAATTTTTATCTGTTTTTGCTTACTGATATATCCCAAAATAGTGGGTTAGGGCTAATAACTATCTGATGTTTAATCGATCTCATGCCTAACTCTAATCCAACTCTAGTAAGCAAAGTGAAACTACCATGTATTGGCATTTTTCTGTAAAAGTAAAATAATAATGATTTTAGGCTTTGTAGCCCTTACAATCTCTGTAGTATAGTCTTCTTTTTTCTTTTTTGTAAAATATATTTTTATTGATTTTTTCTAGAGAGGAAGGGAGAGGGATAGAGAGTTAGAAACATCGATGAGAGAGAAACATCGATCAGCTGCCTCCTGCACACCCCCCACTGGGGATGTGCCTGCAACCAAGGTACATGCCCTTGACTGGAATCGAACCTGGGACCCCCCAGTCCGCAGGCTGGCGCTCTATCCACTGAGTCAAACCAGTTAGGGCTAGTCTTCTTTTTTCAATCCTATAAACATGTAAAAAATATTCTTAGCTCAAAGAACAGACCTGGGACTAGCTGGCCTGCAGGCAATAGTTTGCCTACCCCTGGCTTAGACTAATCATGTGGGGTGATAGACGTATTATGTGGAATATTTTCAAATATTCGAAAAGTCAGTCAAAAATGTAAAATAAATTCCTTTACTATCTCAGAGTCTTAAACTGGCTAATAGGCAACGAGTCTCGCTACAGGAAAACCCTATGCATTGTTTTCTGTACCATAGAATTCTTTTTCACAAAGGCCATTGCTATGACACCTCAAAAAATACTGCCTTTAAGGTTGTGAGCCGACTGGTCCCCTTCACTGTTTTATATGGTCTGATCTTCAATAGCAGCCTGTGGAAGCTGGGAGAATATTAGCATTATTACCCTCAATCACTGGTGATATTAAAAATATTTAACAACCAGTATGACTTGGGACCAACCATAGCCCAGAAATGGAAGAGATCTTAAAACACATTGTATGCGGGAAACGTATGTATGTTTTACGTTGACTGGTAGTAAGTAGAGCGCAGGACACGTATTGATACGTTTTTTTATAGACTAGCGGTAGAATGTGGGTAACGTATAAATACATAAACTAAAGTTATCGTAATTTTACTGAATGTTGCCATTTGCGCAAAAAATTAGCAAAAATGGCCCTCTCCACGCTCGATAAAAACTACCCGCACACAATGTGTTTAATGCCCCCTGCTGAGCCCTTAGCAAAAATGGCCCGCGCCACGCACCACCTGTTAGCTGCGCAATAAAAACTACCTGCACACAATGTGTTTAATGCCCCTGCTGCGCCTCACATTAACCCCTTTATTGCTGAATCCTGGGGAAGTGGGAGGAAACCCAAAAAGGGGGGGCCATTGGAGTGGCTTCAACAGACAGTACAGAAGGATAGCAACATTTTAATCAGCAGTATGGCTGACCCAGTGTGCGCCAGATGACTATCAGCCCTGCCTACACCTGCCAAACAGGAAAATAAAAAAAATAAAAAAGTAGAAGTGTCTTTTCTAGGACTATAAACCAGTAAATGGCAGAACTTGAACTCAAAGTTAGTCTTCAAGGATCCAAACCTCTCATGTTTTCTCTCTGCCACCCACTTCCTGTGTGTTCTTTTCCACTTCCTATGGACTGCCCTCGTCACTCACTCAGAGCAGGGAAAAGAATGCCGTATGTGGAGACAGAAGACTTACGTTCACGTCCTACTCCTGCTATTTATTAAGTGTGAAACCTTGGGCAATTAGCCTGGTCCTACAAGCCCGAGTTTCTTCCCTGGGGAAATCATGATAATCGTGTCTGCATAGCAGGGCAGCTGAAGAAAAGCCTTGTAAAATATTAAGTGCGACTCAGATGTTAGGCACTCACATTATGCGCAGATTGGCCGTTTTCACCTTAAAAATCTGAATGTTGAAACTAGAGTTCTTTTTCCAGATGAGAACACTCAGACTTCTGAGAGATTAAATTACTTGCCCAAGGTCATGCAGCTAGTGATGATAGAGCCAGAACTGATTTCAAAGCTCTTGACTTCCAACTCTGGGCTCTTCGCTGGGCAACTTCCAAACTCACTTCGCAGGCTGCCTACAAGGATGGAAATGTGAAGGGTCCTCAATCACAGGCACAGCGCTGTTGGCAGGCCCGTGTCATCAGCTCCTTCCAGGTCTGCAGGAAGGGGGCTGCGCTGGCCCAGCGTCCGTCTTCTGTCGTTCAGGGGGCACCTGGCCAATTGCTAGGTCACTCCGGCAGCCCTGGGACTGGAAGTCACTCCAGAGGCTCTGGGACCGGAATAGCAGGAAATGGTGCTAATGACGTTATTTCTGCAATAGACAGAGCAAGCAGAAGACAGCATGGACAGGGACAGTGTTGGCCTACCAGGGGCTGGCTTTCAAGCCCTCACCTGCCATAGGCCAAAGGAGTTAGACTTTCCAGTGTGACAACTGAGAAGGAAGAATTATTCTTCACCTGGGAAGATTCGGCCTCGGTTCCCTCAAAAAGACAACAACCTTCTCTGAAAAGCAACAAAGTCAAATGAGATGGCTACTGCCCTCTCCCAGAACTCTAGGCGGGTTGAGGAAAGCAATGTGGTTTTGTGAACTAAACCTGGCTTTGGAGCCAGGTACATTTTGGATTCAGAGACCACGTCTTCCACCCACTACATCTGGTGGTCATTTGCAGCGCCCCCCAAATTCCTCCCTCTGTTTCCCGGGCACATGATAACAGATACCTTCCTAGCCTGCCTGTGTTTGGGTGGGGCCATGTGCCAATCCTGGCCGGTACATTATGAGAAAAAGGGTTGTGTCATCTCTAGGCCAAGGTTTCATTGCTGATGAGACACTTTCTAGGGATATCTTCTTCTGTGATGGTTGCTGCTCTGTGGCCTGGGTCCTTACATGTGATGAGCACTGAAGTATAAATACTCTATGCACAAAACGAGAGGTTGAATTAACCAAATATTGACTGGCTTTGGGAAGGGCGTGCATTGGCACAGATTGTAATGTAATTGCCAAGAAACCCTGAGCTTCTTCAGTTGGCAAACCCATCCATCATTCAAGGCAACCAACGCACACTTTCCACCTTTTTCTAAGTGGGGGGTGAGATTTGGAGGTGGGGGAGCTTCCGTGCATAAGACACACAGACTGCATGAGTCGCACCATGAGTGGTCCGGGAACAGCCTTTTTTAAAAATTTTTAATACATTTTAATTTATTTCAGAGAGGAAGGGAGAGGAAGAGAAAGATAGAAACATCAACGATGGGAGAGAATCATGGATCGGCTGCCTCCTGCACCCCCCTCCCAACCCCCCCTCCACGGGGGATGAAGCCTGCAACCTGGGCATGTGCTCCCACCCCCTGAGCCACCAGCCTGGCGGAACGGCCTTTTAACATCCCCCGCGTGAAATCATCACAACCCTCTCCCTCAGCAATGGATCCCACTCACCACGTGCGCTTGGCTGGAACCACTTGTGTCCCATCTCGCTGGAAACCTGTCTCGACAGCAACTGTTGCCCAAACCGACTTGCTGTCACTACTCTGGCCGGATCTTTGTGGAGCTGAACCTTTATGACAAGGTCACCACGTTGTGGTTCCTGCGCTGGTTGCAGGAGCCACTTCCCTTCCCTCTGAGCTGCACAGGCTCTCCTGGAGAGAACATTCCCTCTCTGGTTCACCCACTAGACTACATGCCTGGCTAATTCCCCTTCTCCACTTCCCATTGCTCAGGCTGCTCTGTGCCACTGCAAGCAGAGCTGTATTAGCCAAACTGTACATACTTGGCAAGTTCCTTAATAGCGATCATCAGACTTTCTGGATTACTTACTCCCCAAAAGATTGAAAGTTAAGTACCCGTTCACACATTTAAGTTGTCCTCTAAAATGTTCACCATAAATATAATTACAAAGAGTGATCTTGCCAATACTGACAATAACGTTAAAAAACAATGCTGTTGCATTTCTTTATGCATTTGTCCAATGAAATCTAAGTACCACAATGATCTGATACCCATCCACTTGAAAATAGAATCAGGGGTGGGCAAACTTTTTGACTCAAGGGCCACAATGGGTTCTTAAACTGGACCGGAGGGCCGGAACAAAAGCATGGATGGAGTGTTTGTGTGAACTAATATAAATTCAAAGTAAACATCATTACATAAAAGGGTATGGTCTTTTTTTTTTTTTTAGTTTTATTCATTTCAAACGGGCCGGATCCGGCCCGCGGGCCGTAGTTTGCCCACAGCTGAAATAGATAGAGGAACACGTATTTAACGTACACTCTATATTGTTGCTTTTTTGTCATCAAAGAGAATACTCCCATAGAATGTGTCTGAAATGAAATATATCGTTAAGCTTTATGGATCACCCCATGAAACTTTCCTGCAACAAAATAGGTATGTTTTTGAAATATTTATGTTTTTAATTTTTGAAATCCCTAATTCTCTTATGTTTATTATGTGCAATTAAGCACTACTTGAAACTGAAATTAAGATAATATTGTACGCCAACTGTAATTAGAACATAAAAGTATTTTAAACTAAAAATGAAAACATTCTACATAAGCCGCAGAAGTAATATAATTAAACTAAAAGCCATCTTAGAGATGCTCTACCTACTCCTCTGTTTTATATGTGAGAAAAGTAAGACCCCCCAAAAGTCAGAAGGGTGATAAGGCCTAAGGACATCAACCTAGTAAATGAACTTGGGCTAAACATAAGGGTCCTGACTCCCAGTCAATAGCTCAGACCAACACCAAATATTAGCTCACTGCTGAATAGTGTGAGCCAGACTCCAAGTGCTGGAGGCGATCGGTGGAAGGAAACTCCATGGGGCTGAGATAGTGAGAAAAGGCGACAAAGAAGAGGAAGGACTCCAGCCAGGCCTCAGAGATCACAGGTGGTTTCAGGGAGGGACCGGGAGGGCCATTTTGGTATCTTTCCCGTGGACTTGGTGACAAGTTGGGAACAACATGAGAGGAGACAGAGAGGCAGGAAATCATCTGAGATGAGCCAGGGACTGAGTTCATATGGGAAAGAATAAAAATGAGATTTGGGATAGTTTCCAAAATCATTCTGAGGAAGCCCAGATGACCTTCTTTTCTGGGTACTGTCCCCACTTTTGTTCTTCAATCTTCAATTGCAAAATATCCTATGGGCCCAGAGAGGTCCCCTGAGAGCAGCTTTGCTAGAAGTGAAGGCATCCCCAGGGCTCAGACACCCTTGGAGCTGCCCAGCCCCCAAAGGTGCCATGCTTAGGATTCGAATGATGAATTCAAAAAGTTTCCACACACCAAAGTGCCGGGAACAGGAACAGTCATTGTGCCAAAAAAACGAAGCTTTCATCACTTCTTTCCCTTTAGCACTTGATCTTGGTTATTAAAATGGACTTGATTCCTTTTGTCTTGCACAAGCTAAATTTCCCATCTGTATCAAGGGATGAGTCGTCTGGTATCAATGAATGAATTATGTAAATCATAAGACAGTGAATTTGATTTCACGGCTCAAAAAAATTTAATTAATCCAATACAAAATTAAATAAATAAATCTAAAACATGACAGTTTCATCAAAATCTGAAAAAGATCCATGAATAAGATTTCTTCAGGAAAGAGCTGAGGGACGTCAGCCAATAGTTTTAGCTTCTCAGAAAAGCTGTCTGGGAAGAGAGAGAGAAAGAGAGAGAGAGAGAGAGAGAGAGAGGCATATTCTATTCCATTTGTCCATCAGTGATGGAGATGACCCTTCTAATGTGTGTGTGCACACATATGTGTGAGAGGGGGAGGAAAAGAGGGGGGAGGGAGAATTCTGGGATGGAGGACTGGCATTGATTCTGGAAGGAAAACATGTAGAAGAAAATAAGGATCTAGCTTATTTTCAAAATAACAAAAATGTGAAGAGGCAAGTACAGCTCTAATAGAGCACCTCCTACCACTATCACCAAGTGATAACCAGAAGAAATGATACAGTATTACTTTCTCACACTCCCTCCGGCATTTTTTAGGCAAAACAAACCACTGAGATGGTTTTTCCCAGGGCTCAAGCCCTCCAAACAGAGTTGCTGAGTGGTAATTATGTAATTTCTTTTCTCTTCTAACCAAATGTCACTTGCATGAAAACGTTTGGAGAGAGGAGAAAACAGGACACAGAACTGAGGGAGACATCACGGTGCCTGTTCCAGACAGTATTCCACCCCGAGGTCTGAATCCAGGGGAGAGGGGACTGCAGGAAGCAGCCAAAGGAGATGCCTGCTAGGGGACTCCGGGAGGCGTGAAGACCGGCGCGGCGGGGCACTGGTGTTTGGGGACAAGGTGTGGCAGGAGCTGGGAAGCAGCCTTCCCCAGCGGTGTGAAGACCACCAGCACAGCAGGTGAGACCTGGAGGAAGAGCATGAGGAGGCCGCCCCCTGGCTAGGACAGCAGCATCCTCAGAAACAGGACCAGCCCACCGTTTGGGACATTCTTGGGGCATGTCCCCCCGGGAGACTTTTTACTTGTTCAACATCTCAATCCTTGTATATTGAGCAGCTCTCGGTGCCAGCCATTCTATTTTCTGGGGACACCGCCCTGAGCAAGAAGCAAGGCCAGATGACAGCCATAAGAGAAAGAGAACAGCACACAGGAAATGATGCCTCAGCTCATCTGGGACACCCCCGGAGACTTCCAGAAATAAGTGGGTGAAGGGAGGCCGGAGGACTGAGATTTCAGGTTGGAACTATGCAAATGAGGACATAATCCAGTTAAATTTTGGTTAATATTCTCACTGTGACCCCATTGGCATATGTACACTGGTGGATATATGCATGGAGAAGGGGTGGAAGGAAATATACCCAAATGGTAGCAGGGTTATTTGTGGGCAGTAGGATTATGAATTATATTTTTATGTAATTTTATATTTAAAATTTTATATTTAAATTTTATACCTATCTTCCAAATATTCTAGGGTGGAGGTACATTATTATTATTATTATTATCATGAACAAAAAAATTTTTGGTCAGGGAGGAGGTGGTATTACTGTCAGTAATTTAAGTTGCTTCAGACAGTATGATTACCTTGGGAAACTCTGATCCTAGTGTATATTTAGAAGAAAGGTATTTCATGATAAACTTAC